AGCAGCCCTCTGCGCAGCGCAGGACGGGCTCCACCGAGAAGCATTTTGCTGCCGCCTTCTCGAATGCAACGGGCTTCTCGATTTGGACAAATTTGCGCTGCAGCTTGCAAGCTGTAAAACATGCGTTCGCTTAAAGCACCTACAGAGCTTATAGAAGTAACTTTTTAATTTGTGGAGCTGGCTGATGAATGAACAAAGTGACCCAAGCTACACGAAACCAGTCTGACTGCAGCGAGTCAATTTTCTGCCAAAGGTGGCGAGAAAATCGGGCCCGTGGGGCAGTCCCAAGGACGGAGGCTTGTGGGAGCTAGGTAGGATAAGGATGTCCAAATCCAAAAAGATAGACGTGAAAACCTTGTTCAACTGACACCAAACTTTACCCAGACTGTCACAGCCATTGCACCGGCCAAGTACCTTAGTCCTTAAGCTTCTGTGATCCAGGCATTCCTAGACCAGTCCCTCCAGCTTGATCATAGAATCATAGAACGGCCTAAGCTGGAAGGACCTTAGAGATCATTTTAATCCAGCCTCCCTGCCGCCAGGGACGCCACCTCTCGACTAGATCAGGCAACACATGGGGACCAAACGGGAATCGAACCCGCAACCTTAGTGTTGATCTAAGAATATACTCCAAAAATGCCACCACTTGCCCAGAGAGAGCTGGGTTACACACAAAATGCAGTGCAGCCTACTGTTATCAGTATGTTCATGTTGTTTTTATATAGGGCCTGGATGGTAAAACCAGTCATTCCTGGGCTGAAGTTTTAAGATTAAGTTAATCTTCAACCTGAGGAAATTTAAACAGGTATTTCCCACCTCAGGTGCACTCTAGTTTGATAGGCAGGGCTAGATTTTAAGTTTTTTTTCTGAGAAACTAAAAGCCTGGAGATAACGAAACTATTAAGGATGTCTTCTGTCAACAGGCAAACTACCTACTTTTCATACTACCATCATCCTAGGGAGTTTCAAGTTCATTATTTTATCTGGAACACACAAACTTCCTGTACCTAAGAAGCTGATACAGGTGCATAAGAAGCTGATACAAAAATGCAACAAACTTTAAACTTGCAGTGAACTAATAAACTAAGGTAAAACAGATTTAATTTTTTTTCTTAGTCTATGGCCATTAATCACAAAAATAGTGAAAAATGAGAAGAGATTGTGGTACCATTAATATAAATCATCAATTCATGTGACTAATGAATTAGTCAAAGGCAAAGACATCAAAATATACGTCAGAATCTTGGTACCTCCAGCACAGGGGTCTTCTGAGATGATCCAGGACTGACCAAAACTCACTGCATCTTTAGCTAAATATCCACTGGGCATTTGATATTCCCTTTCCTTCTCAGCATCATATTTTCCACAAATACCACATGTTTTTCCAGCCATCCAGAAAGCAACCTGAATCTTTGTGGAAATAAAGAAAAGATGTACTTAAATGTTTTCCTTTTAAAAAGAAAGCCACTTAAAATAATTTTTAAAAATACCTCAAGTCTATGACCATCATAATACAGTTTATCTATGCCATAATCCGGGGCTTTTAGTGACAGGCCCTCCTTTTCGCTGCTGATCAGCATGCTTGCATCTGCAGTGAAAAAAAAAAAAAAAGATTTCTTTTAAAAAGAAGTTATTGTTTTAGGGTCCAACCTGAACCCCTTGTTAAATTCTCAGAGATTTAATGCAGGCTGTAATGTATCTTGAAAGAGATGGGGGAGGTGAGAAAGACCTGGCACAAGCCAAAGGCCTGTGACAAGGGTGGCCGTGGCCCAGGGGACATCCGGATGCTTGTTCTGTGGGCCTCTGTGACCAGCGTGAGGTACCACAGCCCAGCACTGTTTGGTTTGTGAAAGGATGCACAGAATCAGTGTCTCTTATTTGCTCATCTTTCTTGCCACTCCCTGTGAAAGCTAGGTGTGTTAAAATCACCTGTTTCTCAAAGTAGTGCCATCTTTATCTTGAGTGGTGTTTGCAGGATCGCATCCTTTCCTTCTTCAAAAGATCAGAACAGGTAAAATGAAATAGATGAGTCTCTTACCAGAATTAGATGTATATGGAACATTTGTTGGGGCTTGGACACCATTAATCTCCAGCTGGATGACTCCGTTGGAAACATACATGTCAACCTCACTTGAAGGAAAGGAAATGAGTATAAACACTTGCTTCGCCCTTGCCCTACTCAGCTGATAATTTTCAGTTCTGGCAGAACCAACACTGTGAGATGCTCATATCGTTGTGGCCTGAGTCACCTGCTACCCTTCGGGAGGAAGGCTGAGAGAGCCCAGGAGAGCGTGCCAGGGGAGCACTCGCAATGCGCCTTTCCCTGACCATCTCAGACCATTTCCCTTTACTCATCTCAGAGCGTCTGCTTGTGGCCACAGTTCAGGCAGGGAGACACCAGGCTACAGGGAGCCTTGATGAGGAACAATGTCATTTCCATTACATATGCATAAATTTAAGGTACTTTACATTTCAAAGGAAGTTTGGATTCCCCGCAGCGGTTCTCTTACAGCCTGAATACTCTGCGTATTGCAGTATTTTCTTCAGAGCAGTGCTTGCTCTGATGAGGAAATAGGAAGCTCGAGCACATCAAAATCACATCCACGTAGGAAACAATCATGGATGATATGGTGATGAGGAAAGCTGTTATCACGAAAGATGCAGCCTATAAAACAAGCATCCTTCTGTCCTTCCACTAAACATATGCAGGGGATACTAATTCTCTCTGTTTCTCTAACATTATGACACAGGCACACAATTTTCAGAAATAAATAATTACTTGTAATATTACCTTACAGATGAAAGCCTATTTATGAGCTTTGCATACTCCCTGCAATGATTTTCTATGCATACTCCCATACAATGTAGAGCCTCAGACTATACTTTTAAAGAAGAACTTAGGATGGCAGAGGTGATTGTTCCAAGATGAAACAAAGCGTGTCTGAAGTTAATTTCAAATAGATTAGAACATTATGTACCAACTAAGCGATGATCTAAGCAAGTACCTCTAATCTGGGTTAAGTAATTCCCTTTTCAGCTATGTCCGCTTCTCAACATCTGTGCTGAGATGATGTGGGTGCTAATTAGTTCTAATTATTATGTTAGTGTAGGAGACCAGACTGAATGATCACAATAGTCCCTTTGGATTTACAGTTTATGTGTCTACCTAACTACTAAGAACTGAAATGAGATGGTTAAATGCTAGGCAAATTATGAAGAATTTTGGGCAGTAAAGACTTCATGATGCTGTGAGTCTCAGCTATGTTTCAGAAGCACTTTTGAAAAACAAAGTTCCAAATCCCAGTGACACTCCTAGAATTTTTTCCGTTGACAGCATTAATTTTTGCATGAGTCTTATGCTAGCATCAATCTGCCCCAACAATCTGGTCTTCACAGTTACAGCATATCCAGCTTGATGTCTATTTGTCATTAAGTTTGCAATTACTTACTGGCTGGCGAGTCTGACATTTATTGCTGTAAGGTCAGTAGACTCTTCAAGTCTTTTCATCATCACCAGGAACTTCAGTTCTGGACTACAGTCCTGCACTAACACGTGGTAGCAATTTGCAGGCATTGAATAGTTAAATTCAACTCCATTGAAGGTGGTGATCGTATTTTGGAAAACTGAACAACGAGCTGAAAAAGAAAAATCAGTCAGAAGCAAACCTTTTATGCTTTATATGTCAGTTACTCTATTTTAGATTTGGGTTTACATGAGTAAATTTTTACCTTTTCCACTGTAATGCTGGAAATGCTGCCAGCTCTGATTAGAAATTATTTTACAGCAATTTTAATTAATATGGACTAGTTTGGGTGTTTACCAAAGAAATATGCGTAGGTATGATGTTAGCCCACTGATTTCAAACAAAATGTGACTCCTTATCCCAGGATTACATAAAGCTTTTCAATTTAAGTAAGTATAATGTGATTAGCTCTTAGTACAGAATTAATGAACCAATAATCCCTTCAAAATCAAGTGCAGAAGCTGAAATTAATGGGTATATTTTTGAAGCTATTTTAACTTCTACATAACAGCACTAACCAAGCGGAACATCCCAAATCTGAGGTCACTTAGATGTAATGTTTTTTTCTTCAAGAGCAATCTCTGCAGGGGAGCTGAAATGGATGCATTTGGGAGTGGATGCATTTGAAATCGCTATTTGGCATGGAACTGAATATTTAATCTTACTATTATAAGATTCTTTTTCTTTACATCTTTACATCTTTGCAACCTCACAATGTTCATACAGATGGGTTTGGATTTTTTTATCTGAAGTCCGACTGATTTTTTAAGTGAACGTAAAGTAAGTTCAAATTATGTCAAAAGTATAAATCAGATTTACAAAATCTGCAAAGTCAAGTGATGCCTGTGCAGATAGTTAATTGCTGACCTTTAAGGTTTTCAATGATTGAAAATGTTGCTTGGGAAAAGACATTCCGGTCAGGGGATGGTAGTGCTGAAATCGGTGTGCCTGGACTTGAAGGGAATGGCAGGGGAAGCCTGATGGCTCTGTCATAAATTGTGAGCTGAAATCAGTCAGAAAACAAATATGAATGTAAATGCAAAATACAATGTAGAGATAAGATAGCATTTTCTTATGATACTCTGTACTGACAGAAATCTAGATTAGAATCTAGGTCAGAGCTAAGAAGAAATCAAGTCCTCCGTGTAGAGCATGAACTAGCTCTACAGTGTGACTGCTGTAGGAGAGCAATGCTACAAATGAGGTTTGGTATTCACTAGTCTGCAGCTTTTGGGGGAGTTGTACTGCACATCTGCTCACAGTCTGAACAGTTTGCTTACCTCACATGCACACCCTCTCCTTGCTTGTATTTTGAGGGATCCTATTTGGCCATCATGCCTATCTACAGCGTGGTTTTAGTATCTTTTCCAGGACACAAGAAAGCCTGTCATCTTCCTGAAGATTGCCTTTTTAATAAGTTATTGTTAATGTGCTATCAATCGTGATGGTTGTTTTGTAACCTGTTTCTTATTTCACGTGTTTGCATGCTACATGAAGATATTTTTGCAACAGAACCAACTGCAAGAATACAATGTCCTTGTGATGGGAGCTTCCTTATAGTTTAATACATTAAAAAAAATGTGGGTTATAAAAGCCATTAACCTTTGATTTCCTAAGTATTGAATGCCCCAAGGTAAAAGATAGTGGAAATAGTTACTTCAGGTAACTTCAGGACCACATCACAGGTTCTTGGAGATGTCAGAGCCATAACCAAGGTTGCCTGGTGGGAGGGACTACGCTGTTGTATTTGGGAATACCCAAGCACATATGCAGCTCCTGGAAGAAATGAGTAGAACCTGGAAAAGTAAATAGGTGGTTAGAGTGATCTGTCTTTGAAAAAATTGGTTATTACTTGTTCAGATTAAAATACCCTCACAAAGCAGTATGTGTCTTGTGCTGGGGACATGTTGTATCAGAGTTAACGGGTGAAACAGTCTTCCAGAGCCTGGATACCAGAGTGCTATGAAAAGAACAATATAGCCAACTTGTTTTAAACACATTCAGCATTAGAAATAGGCACAGATGATGTAAACACTAAAATAATAACATGGTGAAAAGTAGATAACCTCATATTAATGTGTCAGTCCTCAAGTAGCAACTTTTAGCAAGTACCCTTCACCCACTAAGCTTGTCTATGAGTTGCCAGAGGGGTCTCTTATGATTAGGTTCCTTGGGACTCAAATAGAGAAATATAGAAAATATCCCTTTAAAAAAAGGCATCGTATCAGAGCAGAAAAAAAGCTGAGTTCTGTGGCTTTGCTCCAGAATAGTCAATTAGATGATTTCATCCCCTTTAATAAGGGCACTTCAGGTAATTCACTCTAATAGAAAAAATTATCCTCTTCAGCAGACATTTGTCAACCAAATCACCTGTACACCTTTAAAGTGAAAGCCTGCGTTGCATGCATATTTAGATAACCAAGTTGTGTATGTATGTATTTTGGTAGCACTATGAAAAAAACATTAACTTTTGATATGGATCTATGTAATTGTGGGCAAATGCAAGTATAAATAAAAGGAATGAATGAATGCAACATATAATATAGCTGTATGGATAGACACATATGTGAACTGAACCCAGCAGTTACAGTTTTCTTACACTAAGCGTGGCACAACGTTCATTACTGAGTGTGCAATAAGCCTTATGGGAAGTATTTGTACCACCTTTTTCAGAAGCCGGAGGCACCTACATTAGGAAATTATTTTCCCTGTACAGTCAGTGAGAGACAGATTCTTTCAGAGAACCAAGGTAAACCTAACCGAGGCTTCATCTGTTAGGAAGCATGAGGAGACCAGTTGCTTAATTCAGACACTTTATGTTAAAAGTTTACACTAGATTAGATGAATCCCATCATCCCCTTTGTTTCAAGCAGTTTTCCTGCAGACTAGAATACACATCAAAACCAGACATGTTTAATCTGATTTTATAAAATCATACTGATTAAGAGGAGGTTTTTTCAGCTCAGAAGTTGCAGAACTGAATCTGTAATTATCTGGAGCTTTGACACAGGTGATTTTTTTAAAAAAACTGAATTAAAAATCTCACCATCTTGCAGCTGTTCGCACTGTTGAAGGTACTTTTGGCCACTCCAGCCTCATCTGCATAGCTGGATAAGCAGCAAATTGCCCTGTTGCAATCTGAGTGGCGATCTGGTACTCCTGGCAATCTTCACCCCAATTAAGAGAACCCTAGTAGAGGGGAATATATATATATATATGTATAAAACATAGTAAGATCATTGTATTTCATTTACACTTGAGCTGCTCATTATTTGAAACTTACCAGTATTTTATGGGAATTTATTACTGAAGTATCTGCACAGAGTTTCCATCTACTGGATCCTGTGATGCTTGAAACGAATGTCTGTACCCTCCATCCCATGGGCTGTGTATCAGCGTACAGTACGAGCTGTAACCCTGTTGGCTTCTCATTTCTGTGGATGGCACGAAGGACTGCAGCCAGTACTGGTGGCTTGCTGTCTCCCAAGAATTTAGGCTTAAGTCAGTAGAGAGGAAATAGAGACCAAAACCAAACAATGTATTAAAATTACTATATTAAAACCAAAGCTTAAAAGTGTTTAAAAAGGAAAAGTTTCATTTGAAAAGCCTTTTTATGCAAAGTATGGAACAGCATCATAGATCACTCTTGATCTATTCAGTTCACATGTAGTTTTGCCACAGTCTTTCCAGGGAGCAGTTTTGACTGACCTGAGTAAAACAGTAGCATCGGGAGTCTTTTTGTAAAGTAATTTCGGTGTAACAAAAGGAAGTGTGGAGTAGGACCCTACTGTATGAAGAACCTACATTACCCAGCTCACCACTGCTCTCTTACCAACCTGTAGTTTCGCTAACAGTCTCTTTGATAAAACCAATTTAACTGGCTGTTTAAAACCGTGACAGTTTGTGTTAACAGAGGGATCTGTTCAGCGGATCCCAAGTGTGGCACTTGCAGCTGTTCCAAGTGGGAGCCCCGTGCTGCTCCGGCCGTGAGTGCCCTGCCCATGCTGTGGGGCAGCAGCCCCCACCGCGCTGGGGGGAGCAGTGGGGCAGAGGGTCCTCTCTCTGCTGCCACGTCCGAGTGACAGAGACCCACGGGAGGAGCAGGTGAGACAGCACCGGCGAGGGCTGAGGGAGAAGTGGGGAAAGAGCAAGGCTGTGGCTGAGGAGGAAGGTGTATGTGAGGGGAGCATTGGGGAAGAGTTCAGGAAAGTAGTAATGTGGTGAAAAGATGGACAAGGGAGGTGAATTCCAGTCACATAGAAATGGGTGGGAGAAAAGGTGTGTCTGGTTGCCTTTTTTCCGTGAGCTACTTGCACTAACAACTGAGAGCTGCTGGTGCAGAACCAGCGCCTCAGCAAACTAAGGTTTGCTGTTTTGTGGGTCTGTAGGCTGTTGTCGGAAATGTGTGAAATTTTCCTTTGGGAAATCTGCTCCAGATTCCATCAGTTCTTATAATAGTTCTTAGAGAAGGACCAAGCACTGTTAACTATGTACCACACAGTTTATTCCTGAACAAACAGCTGGATTGCTCTCAAAGTTGGTCTTTTCAAAGGCCTTGTGTGGTGTCCTGATAACATGAGCTAAAGTAGTTGGCAGTGAAGACCTAATGAATAAAAGAGTGGCAGAGTCAAGTCCTGATCTTTTCTTTTACAGAGAGCTACGCAATAAAATTATACTTGAAACCAGTTTCTGATCAAGCAGGTCAGCACTTCTAAAGTGGTCTCATTTTTATGAGTTATTTACTGAGTAACGCAAATTTCAACATATACAGCAGTATATTCCAGTTTCATTAAAAAATGTAGCCTGCATTGAGTGAGTATTAAGAAACATCCAACGGCTATCCAATGTTCTCACCTTTCTAAAACAGGAAAAAATTAATTTTCTTTCTATATATCATCTAATATGCTAAGTCACCATATTTTTCCTATTCTGTTATAAAAATACAATAACTGGAAATCCAAAGTAAATAGTTTTATTTCTTGGAGATTAGGACACTCACCTGAGATACAGCTCTAGAGATGTCTTCATCACTCACTGAAGAAGAGGAGGAGCTGATGCTGCTGTTCAGGGCTTCCCCTTCTGGGTCCTGCAAAACAGTCGCCTTGAAGCAAGTTTTTTACCACTGGAAGTTGTTGCAGAGTTAATATATTTATTTTATTTTTTTTAGTTTAGTTTCAGAGGACTAAGCTCTAATTGCAGCAAAGCTAGTGACAGCAGCTGTAGGCCCCGCTCACCGCATAACCAGTAAATGTACCTGTTCATCTGCTGGCTTGAACCGCAACTGGTAAACAGGTAGATTTGCCTGTGAAAATAGATGATAGGTAAGAGGATCTAAAAGAAGACAAAGAATTAATTTTTGAAAAATACAGTAAGAAGTTCAGTACCGAGTATGGAAAAAAAGGCAGAACAACATAAAAGTTTTAAACATTTTAAACTGAAATCTTCTGAAATACGAAAATTTTTAAGTGAAATGCTTCTAAGAACCAGAGGGGTTGAAAAGGGGAAGAAGCTCTGCTAGGTGGTTACCTGATCCATCCTGCAGCAAACAGACACCCTTGATGGCCTGTTTTATCTTTCTTTGGTCCACGATCTATGGGCAAAATTTCCTGATATACAAAAAAACCATTCACTACAAGAAATATAAAAAGGTCTAGCCTGAGCGAATTACCTTCTGGCCAGAATGTTCGCTCTCTCCACTGCAGCGTGTGTCTCCAGAGTAGTCTTCGCTGCTGCTGCTGCAGAGGCTGCTGCTAGCAGAGCTGCCACTGCTACTGCTTATCCTGCTGCTGCTCTTGCTGCTGCTCTTCTTCCCAGATCGCCTTCTTTCATCTCTCTTGTCTTCCTTTCCAGGCTCTTTGCCATCAGCAGAGGAAGCAGTGGAAGAAGAGGAGGAACTAGAGAGGGGGCTTGCACTGGACTTCGCCCAGAGGCCTGTAGCTGGATCCTTTTCTGTTCTGTGAACCCGTCTCCTACGGTGCTGTGTTTTATTTGAGACCTCCAAAAACAGTTTAAAGCATTATGAATGTATAGTTTGTTCTGTAATATTTTTCTGGATGTTAGACGAGCTGCATACCACAGGCTTTCAAGGAAATACAAATTCATGTTTCTGCACGCTACAGAAACTTCACCAGAACTCACCTCACACTGATGCCTCCCAACCAAAATGCTTGTTTTCCCATGCCACTGGGAACCTTTGGCGTCATTTATAGAAATATTTTTCCTTCTCCAATACTCAAAGTCTCTTACCTGGAACACATTTTCAATGCCAAGAATCTTCTTCAGTTTAGCTTGCCTGTCCTCGTACAGAGATGTCTCCTCCTCTTCCTCAGACACTGAGCTTGTTACATCAATTATTTTGGAAGCTGCTCTGGATCCTGCCTGGATCTCCAGCTGTATTTTGTCAATGTCAGCATCTGTATGAACTAAAGCCAAGATACTTACATTACAGGGCTGCACTGCTTGAGCAGCATTCACAGAGTTTGATTGAAAAGCTTATTGTCATTACTGTACCTGGCTTCAAAACTATTTTGCCTTCAAGTTTTCCAACTAATTTGTGCATAAAGGTATTTCTTAAGAAAGCGGGATTTTGTGACTTTAGGCTGAGACAAGCAGAACATCCCAAACTCTCCAATTTTCTACAGAAGACACGTGTGTAAAATCTTCCTCCTACACTGTAGTGATGTGCCTCTTCTGAATCTTGCTGGTATCCTTTGGATATCACACCAGGAACATTGCTTTGCTGCATTAAAAAAAAATATGGCAAATAAAGGGTTTTCTTCCATATAAAAATTGTCACAGCTCCTAAAATCTTTCCTCCTGTTAATGAAGAGAGTGATGACAGTCCTCCCTGAATTTTAAGCACTGCTTAAAATTAGAGATTCAAGCACTGGAAGCAGTGAGGTTTCCTCTAGTGTTCTGCGGAAGAGGACAGCTCTCCCGCCCAGGCTTTCCCAGGTAGTGTTTCAAAAACGCACAGCCCAGTGAGAACCTGTCGGGCATTTCAGAGGGACTATTTCTCTGCAGCAGTTTTGGGCTATCAGCCAAATAAGTCAGCCTAGCCTGCTCATGCCAGCCTGAGAGCTGAAGGGCACATAAGAGAACCATAGAATCACCGAATTGTATCAGCTGGAAGAGACCTAGAAGATCATCGAGTTCAGCCTTTGTCCCAGCCCTATCAACCAACTAAACAATTCCCCCCAACACAACATTGAAGAATGGGCTTCTGCAATCCACTGCAAGTATTACCTCAGGATTTTGGGAAAAAACCAAACTCAAAACATCCAAGCAAACAACCCATAGATTCTTCCAAAAGCCATCTTTTCTACATTGCTGTGGCTTGGAAAAAATGGGTTGGTGTACAAAGGATATGAATTTCACACACCCTCCCCATGGGTGTAATACTGTCAAAGCAACCCTACCTGCATGAAATGATGAGCAGACTGTGAATGGCCGTGTTTTGGATCCATTGGGACTTAGGTTAGGCTTGGTTTGGGCTATGCCAAGCACCTGTTGAACCTCACAGTGTCTGTGCTCGTGGTGTGGTTAGCCAGCTGCTGTGCTGGGGGTGCTCAGCCCCTCAGAGGAGCTGACTGTCCTCGACCTGTCTGCAGTACACATGGCGAGAGGCCTCCTTACCTTCCAGCTGCCAGGTCGTGAAGATCTTTCTGGCGGCTGGTCAGAGGTACGTGATACTTCTCCTTTGGGGAGAAGCCGGGATTTCTTTTCAGAATCTGCTTCTTCCATGTTCCTTGAAATAGCATAAACTTCGCTCCTGTGGAGGTGATAAATGGCACACAAGTAACACCACTTGATTTTGCTTACCTGCCTTTGGTGGTGCAAAAAAGACAATACTGAGCTTTATTGGCTGCCAAAGTACAGCAAAGCCTAACGAGGAGCTGTGTGTTCATGATTTTATAACAGGGGGTTCACGACCAGTAACACATAACAAGCAAAATGCAACAAGCTCTTTTGTACCTCACAGCTGCGAGCTCAACCTCCTGACGGCAGGGAGGGGTTTCAATCTTCAGATTTTTCTCTTTAATATTTATCCCAGCATCAAATTTCATTTTAACATCGCTACTGAATTCTGCATGAAATTCAAGACCGCTCTGCAAGTATTGTGTGTTAATCCCCATCATTGCAATCATATGAAAATATGCCCTGAAAGAGTGGAAACAAGAACATGCCTAATTACAGTTTGCACATATTTAACTTTGAAATGCAAAAGTGCATTTTCACGCTCTTCATTTTATTATAAGAGCCACTGCTGGTGGATGAAGAGATGTAACAGGATTAAAAAAAAAGCTGAAATGCCTCTGGAGAAGATGAAGGGATTTATCTGATGGAAAAAGCAAACACAGACCCTCTCGCTGCTTTGGCACTGACATGGTGCTTGAGGACAAGCTAATGCCAGAACATTCTAGCTTCAGATTGTGCCTACTTTAATAGTGTCATCACTATTAATATTATCATTATTGCTATTATCATTAGTAGTACTGTTGCTTTTGCTTTTGGCTATGTGGATCCAGAAGCATTTCCCGTTTCCCCCTGAAATGGCCCCAGCTTTCTGTGCCAATTTTGTAAACACCCGTTCGTACGTGAGCAAGAAAATCTTCAGAGCTTAGGACCTTTAGTCACTGCACATGTACAAATGTAAGCGTTTTTAGCAATGGCAGAGCAGGCCAGTGTCCTGTGGGAGTACAGTGCACATTGGTGTGTTTGCAGGGTGGTGAAGCATTGGGTGAACCTGTTGCTTTCTCACAACTTCACTGCTCTGGACTAGCATAGTTGTCCCAAATCTGGGGCAAGTAAGCCCCTTGTATAACAATATGCAATAATGTATTTATTTCAAATAAATTATGTAACTATAAATAAAAATAAATATAAAATAAATATAAATAAACAAATA